GGCTATACACAGCTATACAGGGCTATACACATCTATACAGGGCTATATTCAGCTATGCAGGGCTATACACAGCTATACAGGGCTATACACAGCTATACAGCTATATACGACTACGCAGGGCTATACACAACTATACAGGGCTACACACAGCCATATAGGGCTATACAGGGCTCTATACAGCTATATTCCTTGATTGCTTTCCTCCTCAGGCTGACAACACGATTTCTTTGTTGTCTGTAATTTTCCCAGTCGTTTGGTTCTTTGGTGGTATATTACTTTTGTCTCAGTTGGTTCCTAAAGCAAATGGCAGCCATCATTTGTGACTTAAGATAAGGTGCTGGTCTAGGCTTCATAGATTTCTTTTCAACCAGAGGAGCATGATTGTCGAGTACATCAGTCAGCAATTTCTCCCATACCCAGTACACGTCGTCAATAACTTGGAAAGTATTTGCTACATGGAAGGGTATGGAGGCAATGTCGTTGTTGTATTGAACAGAATCAAAGTTGTTTCGAGACAGTCTCTACAAGTCGAAGTGTCCGTGTGTAGCGGGTGGTGTAGTATGCACCGAAGTCTGCGGATGCTCCGACTGTGGAAACTTTGTTCAAGCACGAGCTGACCCGAGAAAAACCCCCAAAAGAAAGAAAGAAGCCAAATAGGGCGATGGTCTCTCCATGTAAAAGAAAAAAGGTGTTCAAATTCATGAAAGGTTAAGATGTGGAGGTGGATGGTGGACCCTGGAAGAACATTGAAACTCTTTGTCTAATTGTTTGCCGAGACGTCTTGCAAAGTCGGGGACTTTCCCTAAATTCCAAAACTTTGCATAATTTTTATGATTTTGTGGCTGTCTCCTACTATTATGGACATGTCTCTAAACATAGCTGCAAAGTCTACAGCCCAGATAGCGGCTAAAGTAGCACATATTAGAGGCATTGATCCTCACTACATCAATTCACACAGAAATTACTAAGAAAATACATTTGTGTCAATATTGAGTGATTACATACCTTTTGAAGGAGAATTTTTGTTCTTTTGTAACTTGCTATTGTTACAAAAGGTTTATGCTGCCCTTTTCATATTTATGTTGAGAAAGGTATAACTAATTGTATGCAAACTTGTTCATGTTGGATTGCTTCAGAATAATTCCAACTTGTTGCATGTTTAATTGAAAACGATAGTTTTCTGAATTACTTGTATATTAATGATAGTTCTGCAATCTCTCATTGACGGCACTCTCTCTTTTACTTGTTGTAAAAGTTTGTTATCAAAGAAATAAACACGTGAAAAAGGCAATTTGTGTGTTAGAAAAAGATTAAGAACTTGAAAGAACAGGTTACCTGCTACAGGAAGACTTAAGAAGAGAGTCTGCATATGCTTCAATTGCTGCCATTTGAATTTATTTAACAACTAGGTTGTGGATAACCTTTTTTGTTTAGCTTTTTTGTTTAGCAGGTTTTCTACGATCGCTTGAGCACTTAAGTGGTATATAAGGCCTATTCTGGAATAAGAATTCAATAGTTTTCTAAGGAAAATCCATTTTACGGCATTTGTACACTTATTAGATGACAAAATGATCCTTAAGTAAGATCTAACAATATAATTTTTGAAAGTAATGCCATTTCAATTCAATGCTTGCAGAAATTAAGGTGTTAATCTTTTTAGTTATTTCTTAACTAGAAGACACAATTGCACACAGGTAGTGAAATATAGTTCTTTCTTTTCTCCAATATCCACCCTCTTGCCATAATTATTGTCTCCCAAGTCCTTCCAATCAGTAATTTGCATGTTTGCATTAAGCTTGCCATTTTTCCTTCTGCCTTTGGTGACTGATAAGCTGTTGAAAGATTTTGTTTGATCTTACATCTTTATCAACAACTCATGAACATGGAATACATAGCTAGGTGTACTTCTATTTCGATCAGTTGTATAACCTTGTATGGCTGTGCATCTGACTCCGTTTTCTCACCGGTTTATGTAATGTTAACACAATAAGCCGGAGTAGTCTAATTTATTCATCATATATCAAGGAGAATAAAAGCGTGCAATTCAGCAATTTTCTATTTTCCTTTATAACACAAGCTTTATGAGTCATGTTTGCAAATAACAAGGGCTGAAGAACCCAAATTGAACATTGAAGTTACGAAATACTCAATCTCTCCAGGAGAATAACTTTTTAAGTATTTGAAAACCTCCTTTAAAAAATTCAAAAGTACAATAATGAAAACTCTTCACATTTATTGTAACTCCTATTAATCACTGTTTGATTCAATCACATGAGCTTTGTCTTTTTAAAATTGCTTATCTTTTATTTATTATAACAATGACAACAATGCTACAGAACGTATTTTTTTTACAAACCATACTACTTACAATTATACTATTTGGCCAATACATAGAAATTACCACTACTGAAACTTAGTACCACTTTAATGAAAAGTTATAAGCTTTGCTTATCATGTTACACAAAACTACCATTGATTAAACATGTTTTTATGTGTAAAACACTAAAAGCTTGATGAGAAACTCCATTCTGTGATAAAATTGCTTTGATCCTC